CGTTACACATTCGTTGCAAACTGTTCGGTTTTTTCTTGGTCACAAAGCAAAATTTTGAATACTATACATTTTGATGAAAACTGATGAAGCCAAGCACTAATAAGAACTTATGATGATATTACAGTATATTGTAACAGATTAAGAGTCTCAAACATTGTTTTACTTGTTTTTTTAATGAAATTTCACAAAATTACAAACATTCTTATAAACTAACATGTAACTCTGTAAACTGATTTACATATTCTGAAGTTTTTGTATTTAAATATTCAAATGGAAAGCTTTTAAATTGTTTTTATGTCTCATTATGATCATATCAACGTAAATACGTAAACACAAGCATGTTAACAAACCTCTTATGGTCTTGTGACCGTCGAGTGTTGGTAAACAGTTGCAAGTTAGTATCTAATTCAAGTGTTAGTCACAAACTGTGTTACACATTCGTTGCAAACTGTTACGGTTTTGTGACGGTTTTTTCTTGGTCACAAAGCAAAATTTTGAATTCTATACATTTTGGTCAAAACTGATGAACACAAGCATTAATAATGGTCGGTAAAGTGTCTTAGTTAAGTTGCAAAACGGTCGCTCATATTTGCAACTAAAGTAAGCGTCACAAAGTTTAGTTCCAAAAATTTTCTTGTAATGATCGGAACTTAATTACCCAGATATATATATAAAACTAAATATATATATTTAGGTGTTGAATTATACCCGGACGCGAACCGATACCCATTGGTAAACACTTATCCAAACTGGTTTTTTGAGTTGGTTATGGTTTGATTTTTTAGTTTCATCTTTTTTTCTAAGCCTATTTGTCGTGTTTGTATTAGATTTCAGTATCCATTGAATAATCTCATGTATGCGAAATTTTTAAAAAAAGTTTCAAAGGTCTTTTAATAAGTACTTAATACTATTTTATTAGTTTTGAAAGTATATTTCAAATACTTGTAGTATCCAGAGTATTTTAGTGGAATTTTGGACCCAAAAAATAAGAGAAATTACATAGCACATTTTTTTTTTCTAAAATTACCATACTTTGTTTTTTCCCAAATATAACCCAAAAAATATATTTTCAAAAATACCATAAACATAAAACATTGATTTTCGAAGAAGTAGACTCTTTTTTTCTATGTTTGGGTTGATAATTTTTATTTAGGATATAGTTTTTAGAGGTAAGGTTTAGTGTTTAAGATTTAGAAATTAGTTTTGAATGATAAAAATGTTAGTTTTAGTTTTGCAGTATTTTTAAAGAATACTAGATTCGGACCCGCACGTACGTGCGAGAATGATTTCAAATCTAAAATTTGGTATTAAATTTTGACATATATTACGTACATACATGATTATGTTTGTAAACATTTATAATCAAACCCGTACCAATTCAATAATTTTTTTATTAGGTTAAACAAAAAAAGTGATACGGTTTGGTTTAATTAAAGACAGCTGTACCTTAAAACAAATAGTAAAAGAAATGCGGGTTGTCAATTTCTGGACCAAAACCTTCTCTCGTGCATCCTAAATATGTCATATTTTCCATCTCATAACCATATTAATTATTTACCCATTTGAGAGTGTATATTTTGGTCAAACATATAAGAAAATAGGTCAACGATTTAGACTTACACATAAATATAAGGTTTTGTTTTTAGATACATCTATATTATTTCCAAATCTATATTATTTCCATAATATAGATTGTTATTATTATTATTATTATTATTTTAATGATTTTTTTGCTGTCTTTAATTCTGTTTGGCTACATGGTTGAGATTACATTTTATTTCATTTCTTATTTTTAATTATGTTTGGCAACACTTACAAAAAGTGCTCCCCCTTTAATAGTATAGATATTTAATGTTATTTTTGAAAAATAAAACTCAAAGTTTATGAACCTCAAATTTTTCTTCAATCCCTTCAAATTTTGGCCACCTCTTGAAAGTTGAATCACTAAGAAATTAAAAGAAAAATGTTGAATAGGAACACATAACACACACACACAAAAAAAAGCCTTCCACCAATCGTTCATTGACACATGTAGTATCTTAGCCATAATTTTATATTTTAATTAAGATCCAGATCTTAGCATAAATCATCATTTATCATTAAAATTAAATAAGAAAATACCAAATATTAAGTTAAGAATGAGCTAAGATCCTATTGATAATGTTGGTATAAGGCCAACTCCTTCTTACTCAAGAAGTAAGAAGCCTGACTTTTCATCTCGACAGGTAGACAAATGCTACTAGAGCTCGAAGACTTTGTTGGCATTAACCCAATTTTGTCTATAGCCGAGAGAAACGTACGGTTAACTAGATGTCATATATTATTTTAGTTCTTTTCCAAGTAGACAAACTTATTATCATATACATTCAACCATTATTATTTCATCGTCATGACGTTCTTATAAAAGAATTCAACCGTCATAAGATTATTCTAAAAATTTGACCCGAACATAAAGGACAAATATATATATAATAAAGGCTAAAACCTCTGCATGCAACGTTCAAGTTCTTAATATACTATTTTGTTCCAAGGTCAACCCCATATGAACACGGCACATTAAACCCTTCTTATCGAAAACTTGCCAGCCTCACAAGTCACACTGTTAATCGATATCACGTTTCATTATTTGTTATAAGTTTAATCTTAAAACTATATATGGAAGTCAACTACACATGGAAACAACTCAACAAACAGAATGTAACACATGTACATCTTGCAAGTTAAATAATCCATTCAAAAAAAGTCAATCTTATAGCAAAAATATACTCCCTCTGTTCTTATATAGATAATTTTAAATTTTTTATTGTTTTCCAAAAATAGATGATTTTCTCACAAATCTATGTAAAAATAAATATTGTTTAATGGGTTTTATCAATTTATATTCTGCAAATTGTTTTTTCACTGGTTAAATTATATTAAAATATATTAAATGATGTTTTTCTTTTGAAAATAAACAAAACTCAGATAATTTCTTAATCTGTGTGCATTTGTTCAAAAGATTATGTATTGTAGAAAAGATGGAGTATATTTTTCCAACAATATTGAATAATGAGCAAGCATTAATATTTACAAAAGATGTGAAAAATATTTATAGTTATTTTTGTGTTGCGTGGTTTGGTATCAAAGGATTAGTTCTTTAATTTCGAAGAGAGGAGATGTAGTTGGGATAATATGCTTGAAGCATGTGATTCGATGTTTTAGTGGGGGTGGCACAAAAAGTGAGTTTTTTTGAGTGAAGCTTGCCTTGAAGTTGGTAGGCCATATATGTATGTGTATATGCCCTAAATGCACCTGTCCACTTCTTTAATTCTTATTTAGTTTTCACCAACCAAACTTTGGAACATTTTGTCTTTGCCCTTCTATTTCATCTATATATCAAACATCATGTGTGTCGACACCAACGCTATAAGTATACGTCGGCAGAAATAAGATTGTTTATAAATACAAATTTATTGGAAATCAATAATAAATAGGAACAATAACAATAATTTCGTATTCTTTTTTTTTCCATCAATTACATGTGAATAAAAAGTTTAGAAGTCATATCGAATTTGTATTTCTCTTACATATAATGCGTTTTTATTTTCCTTTTTGTTCATTTTTGAGTGGTTTGTGCATTGGTTTAGTGATCGGCTGGTGCTTGAGACACTATTTGGTGCACACTACTGCTACTGCGTATTTGGCCATATGCATGCATCGTTATCAGCAACCACTTAATATTAATCATAATTTTCAGATTTTTTTTTTCAGATTTTCATTGTTAGCTCACTAGAAAGTGTATAAAAAACTATGGATTGATTGCTGTGGTTATTGGATCATTGGATTTGGAATCCAAACAAAATTCATATGTTATTCAATCATTGATTTTAAAATAACTATGAAAATCATGTATTATTAGTTGTATGATTTATAAATACTAGTTAAAATCCTATGTTATTCGTTTAACAATTTGTTTTTGGTTTTTAAAATCCGCAGTATGTTTTAAATGGATTTGAAAAGATTTGATAGTGTAAAATAGAAAGATTCTTTTTTCTGATAAAAAATAAAAGGATTCAAATCCAAGGATAAAACATGTTATTTCAAAATCCATGTATTTTTACTTCATAAATAATAAGGATTCACAAATTCTATGTGGATTTACAAATCAATAAACCAATAACACCTTAGAATCTTTCCACAAGTATATTTTGATCCACAACTATCAAACTTTATTTGTATTTTCTTTTTTCATTCACAGTCAAAATAGAATTCTTTTTTATACCGCCAATTTTTTGGCTGTATAAAGTCAATTTTTCTAAAGCACATATTTTTAGCTTTCCAAAAATTAATATTTACACCCAAAATAATCTACGGTCACAATTAAAAAATTCAACAACGCAAAATTTACAAACAAAAATCTAAACCGACAACCGTAACCAATCAAGCCCTTTGTTGGTATTTGAAATACGGGGTTAAAATTTTTGGGTGAGGTCTAAAATATGTAAACTGATACATATTGTTACAAACTTAATTCTTTCTTCATAGTTATAGTGCTTGATATTCTTTTTTAACTTTAAAATTTCTATTTAATAAGTTTACACACATCTGTCTATCTAAACAAAATTACCTTTTTTTTATGTTCTAATTAATAAGTTTAGTGACATCTATCTTACTGCTTTTCTTATATGAATGTACTACAAACTATATTAGACATTTGTTAAACTACTAACCCAGCTCATGAAGATTAATTGAATCACACTCTTCTGATTTTCAAAACCCTATTAACCATCTATCTTTCCTTTCTAAAAACTGTAATAATATTTTCCTCAATAGTGTATTTTTAAAGATACATTAGAATTGAAATTCTATTTTACACAAATTTTGGATGATTTTAAAATCAATTTTCGATCAAACCGAAACTATGTAAGTAATCATATAGGCGGCCCACTAAGACAATGAAGGCCCAAGTTTCATCGTTTTATTTTTACAAATATGAAAATAAATTCCCAAATCAACGAACTAGAGATTTCAAAAACCCTAATCGATTAGAGAGAATCTAAGCAAAGCTATGTCAGATCCTTACGAGAGAGTCAATGGTGGAAGACTAGCCTTCAAAGGAGGTGATCTAGCCACAAGGAAATCGATCGAGAAGAAGAAGAAAAAGCATAAGAAGAACAAGGAAAAGCTCGTCGACGGCGCTGCCGGAGAAGTGAAGATGGCTCCCGACGGTTCCGCCACTTCCGCCGCCGCTCCCGACGACATATACTCTATCGATGCCGCGAAGAAGAAGAAGTACGATGAGCTATTCCCTGTGGAAGCGAAGAAGTTCGGTTACGTTCCGAAATCAAACTTCGAATCAATGGAAGATGCTCTTGACGATCGAGTCAAGAAGAAAGCTGATCGTTACTGTAAATAAATTCTCATCTTTGTTTTTTTTTGATGTTTGTAGGATCTAATGAAAGATGATGAGTGATGAAAGTTTCAATACTATGTTTCAGTTCTTACAATTTGAAGTATAATTTTTAGCTCCTTTATCCTAAATTTGGTTGACTTGTTGATTTTAGAGAGCTTATGCAACAGAGAATATGAAAATTCAATATTAGGTAGTGACCTGTTTTGATAGCTTTTGTTTCTTTAGTGTTTATTAGCTATTTGTCATCTTAGAGCTATGGTAGTGTTAGTGGTTCAATTTTTGCATATATTGTTGGTAAGATTGTTTTTGTTTTCAGTTTACATCTTTTTTATTTATTATCTTAAGAGGATTTACATGTTCAGAAAAGTTCAACCTCGACGCATCTACTTACATGTGATGGATTGATGAAGAAGCTAAAGGATATTGTGAGTCACAGCGACTGAACTATTGAGGAATTAAGAGATAAGTTCAGAGTAGTTAAAGTTACTGTCTTTTCCATAATATCGAATTAGAGCATGCAAGTCATGTATATCATTATCTGCTTTGATGTCTATAGTATCGCTATGATACGATTTGCTTATAGAAAATGATATTATTATAGATACTTAAGGAAATTATAGAAAAGAACCGAGGACTTTGATAATGGAGCTCCTCCCACTCCCCCAGAAATAACCCACAAACCAGATAAACCCTCCTCATTTCTCTAAGACATCTTATATAGATAAAGACTATGACAACTCTCTAAACCAACCATAGTTACTTGACATTACCCACACCAAACCATGGTTAATTTATAAGACTTAGCTATTACTAATAAGCTCTTAAAGCATAGATGTATCACGCTATATGCATAGATGGAACCAACTACTTGTCCAATTCTATTTTCTACTTTTTGTAGTTATTGTCTAGGCCATAGCAAGAAACCTTAGCTTGAATTTATTCTTAGCTACACATGCATATTCAAGTAGACAATTTCTCAGTCTCTATACAGAGATATAGAGAGGCACAATTTATATTTCTTGAATCAGAAAGACTTCATTGTTTGAAAGATGGTTGCCCCTAATATATTTTGTGTTAGCTCCTACCTTGAGGATTATGGTTTGCGTTATCTAGTTTGATATAAGTACTCTGAATCCGAGAAAGATTTGCAGGGATGCTTACAATGACTCATTGCTAAGTAGCATTTATTTTTCAATTCTTACTACTCTTAGCATCTTTATTTCTTTACTTGTTTCTTTTGACTATACTAATAGTCTAAATCTGGTTGATTTGTCTTTTTTATAGAGGTATTTTTTTTTGGTCAACTTTTATAGTGGTTAACCAACAAAGGACTAATGTTATCTTACAGCGAATCTGAGAGCTCAGAATTTGGTAGTTATTCTTTGGGGAACCCGGTGTGTCAGATTTGAATTGTTATGTTCACTGCATAGTTATGAAGATTGTCTTCTTTATAAAATCTTTTAAGTTTCCAGCAAGTAAATTGATAGCTTTTGTATATCTTTCAAATGACTCATGTATCGTTCAGAAACTACTTGTTAAAGCTTGAACAAATTTTAAGGCTATAGGACATAAAAGTCCTGATTCAGCCAGATGCATTTATTACCCTCGTGTAATGGCTGGGTTCAAGAGGCTAAAGGATGTTACAGAAAGTCCACTGAGATTGAACTGCAGGAAGAATTGAGAGATAACTTCAGTTTAGTCAATGTTGCTGTCTTTTTCCACTTACAGCATGCAACTCCTGCTTATCACTATGCGTTTGGTAGGACTTTCTCTAGTTCTTTTGTATGTTGTAGGTTGAGGTAATTTCTGATATATATACATGGATATTCAAATAGACAATTTCTCATAGGGTCTACACATATAGATAGTCAATCATAAAGACACGACTGTCAGAAAGATGGCTGCCCTGTATAATTTAATTTTAGCTCCTGTTACCTCGAGGATTCTGGTGTGCTCTTTCTTCTGGACTAACCCTTTGGTATCTTGCTCTAAAGGGCCAAATGCTCCCAAGCTGCATCCACCTCGAGCGCCTTCTTTCAGGTATGTCTTGTCTAACAGAACTGCTCCTTTCTTGAGAATTAGCAATGGTGTTGACAGGTGGCAGGTCACGTCGGCAGATAGGGCAAGAATTGTGAAGCCTGAGCCACGGGGTTATACAATCTTTATGGTAAATATGTTTACACGGTAATTCCGTAGCATCTCCACCAACAATGAATTCTTCCATGCACACTGTGCATTGGGACATGTCGTTGGTTAGATGCTGTGGTGCTATCTTCACTGTGGGTAGTGCATCAATGGTGGGTTCTGATGCAGGTGGTGGTCCGGGCCTATCCTCCTGTGTTAGCTCTTCAATCAGCTGCTCTAAGCCTGATGCTCCAGTAAAGAAGTCATGTGTGTTTAAACGCGGGTGTGGTGCAGGATTTGGTTGCTCGATTGTGCCTCCAAGCGGACTAGTCGGATTTATGGGTCGAAGAATAACATATGTTCTTCTTGGTGGAGGTAGTCCGTCATTGTTAATACCGTCAAGGCTGTGGCGTCGTCGATGGTGTGGTCTGGGTCTTTGTTCAGGTTCCACTATATTTCTGGATCTTGCTCTATGAAATGGGTCTGCACCAAACCCACCTATGATTGGAGGATCAAACATGAGTGATAGAGCTTCGAGAAGACGAGCCTCAGGGGAAGCATCAAAAGGCGGAGCAGCATGATTGAAAGTAATCCGAGGCTGTCTCATTTCAATATTGACGACAAATTGTCTCAAGCATCGGGGGCATGCGATCTCAGTTGGGTTAGAGGATGCAATCCTGACCGTACGGTGACAATGGTAGCACCAATAGAGGCCAAAAGTTCTAAATGCTCCATTAGGTGCACCATTGGTCCGTGTTATAGGCTGACTTAATGACATGATTTGAAGAAGGTATTGTTATATACAAGACAAACAAACACATAATCTACACATATATAGATAATGCAGAGGTTGCATGAAGCAAATGAACAAGTAGATTCTGTGCAAATAGAGGTCTTGTTTTCTTGGGGGCTTATCTTTCGTCTTGGGAAAGCAAAGCATTAGATAGGTGTAGACGCAATGCTCTCACTTCTAGTTTTCTATGCTTTTAATTTTAAGATTGCCTCTAACTAAAGGCTAGAATCATTTTTCAAATCCATAGGCCCAACATGTTAAAGATATTGGCCTTCTTGATTGATTACAACAGTGAGGAATTATCAAGCTAAGTCAAAGAAATAGTAATAAACTAGATTCGGACCCGCGCTACAGCGCGAGGAAATATTTACGGATATATGTAACCTGTAAAAAATTGAAATATATTGTTGACAAAAAAAAAAAAATTTGAAATATATTACATTTGCATTGTCAATTACAATGTATGTTACATAACGTTTATTCATGTGGTTTTGATTTTGGTTGTAAATGTTTTTTTGTATTAATTCGGTGTAGTATGTAGTTTGTTTTGTTTCAAGAAAGTGTATAACATCTTTATTATTAAAAGAGAAGCACTTTTTGTAAGTGTTGCCAAACAGAATTAAAAATAAGAAATGAAATAAAATGTAATCTCATCCATGTAGCCAAACAGAATTAAAAACAGCAAAAAAGTAAATAAATAATAATATTTAATAATAACAATCTATATTATGGAAATAATATAAATTTGGTTACCATAAAATTAGACAATTAAATTCGAAATTATACATATTTCATCTAAATTACATATTTTTCTGATATTTTCAAAAATAATAATTTATGTTTATAAATTTTTTTAAAAATTATCATATATTTTAGAAAAATGATATTTTAGGAAAAATAAAAAGAAAAAGAAATATGTAATCTTAAAAAATAATTACATTTTATGTAAACTTAAAAGTTATATAATCTTAAAAACTAATTGCATTTTATGTAAACCCAAATTTGTAGTCAAATACCCTTAAAACATATCTTTCCAATATTGTTTTTAAGAAATTCGGATTTTTAAATTGTCAAAATCTTCTGTTTAGATCTTCCCAACTAATTTTCTGCATGTTATTTAAAAAAAATAATCAATATAAAGCAAATCTTTTTTAAAAAAATCTTAATCTTCATTAATTAGAACATACTATATAACAGCTCAATCAATAAAATACTAACTATATTTGAGATCGTTTAAATATTTAGCAATACAAAACTTCAGAATATGAATCTTATATACAAGTTTAAATGTACTAACCATATTTTGAATTCTTTATATAAAAATTAATTAACCATGTCTACTTATCAAATGTGCACACAATAATAATTACCATCACCTAAAATATAGATATTTCTAATTAAAAAAATAACGTAATTATAGGAACAGAAAAAGCAATTACGAATGCAATTAAAGAACATTGTTAAGGTAGTCCATAATCGTAATTAGGTTTACCTCAAAAATAATATATGGTTTTACACTTATAACCAAAAAAATTGGTAGTTATATTTTAACTATCAAAAATTTACTAATTTGCTAAAAGTCAACTTTGGAACGATTATTTTAAAATGTTCAAGTATATTTTTTTTCTAGCATGTAAATGGTGTTATTTATATAAAAAAATCTAATTGTATTGGAATAATGGGTACGAGACAGGAGCAGATAATTCGAAAAAATAAATATTATCCAAACTATTTCTCATAAAAAGCATGATGAAAAATAAAAGTAACGAGAGAAGATCATAAAATCAAGAAACTAAATTCGATTTCAATTTTTAAATATCAAATAACATGTATGATACATGAACATGAAATTTGAATTGTTATATTTAGTTTTAATTATTCAACTTTATTCCAAACTAGGGAAATAACCCGCGCTTCGCCGCGGTTCACCGGATAAATATATACCGTTTGCGTTATATTTTGAAGACGAGTTGATATTAACATGTTTGCATGTTTCATAAGGATGATCGATGCTATTGGATGAAATTTTGCATGTTTCATAAGGATGATCGATAAGCTTCGACCATTCGGCTACCGGCTTATCGATAAGATTCACCGTTAGAATTATTTATTCGACTATTGACATTCATAAATATCCTATGATGTTTTTAAGGAGAAATCATCGTAAAAATTAGTCCTTGCCTCTAACGTATCTAATTTGGTTCCCTTTTATTCTGATTTTTTAAATCCGTCCACATGAATCAATTGTATTATAATTTTCAAGATAATATGAATACCATAGCATGATCAAGATTAATATGTAATTATCAAACCGAAAATGATAATATAAATAACTTCGGCCCATTGTCTAAAGATCATCAATGTAACGATAAATGTTTATATATCAAGCAATAGACCGTAATGTAAAACCAAAACCTGATATAAAAATCAAAGACAACACACTTACATTATTACATATAAAGTAATACTTAGAACATACGTTTAGGTAAAAACTGAAACTGAGACAATATTTTTCCCACAAAGTTATGAAAATAAGTTACAACTAATCAAAAAATGATCCAACAGACCAGATTACTTCTAAGCTAATGTTGCATGGATCGTATCTTCTACTTCCTGGTTAGAAAATTTGTTGAAATGGTACGATGCAGCAAACTTAGAGATACAAAATTTAAAATTTTACATTGGTAAGATTCTATATAAGAGAAGCAACTTACTGAAAATATTGGCTATGGACAGTATGTAAGAAATCACCTTGTTCTGTGATGTTGAAGTCCAAGATTATTTGGATTTAAAATTATCCTTGACATTCCACCATCATGTTCAGCATCATTGGTAATACACGGCTTTCCTAAAATGTATCATGAAGAAAGAATAGATTTCTAGTTCTTAATCTGTGGTATAGAATAATGTCCAAATCATATGCATAGAGTTAAATTAAGTGGTTACCTTGAAAAGATGACAATCTCCAAAATCTGAGTACACAAAAGACTGGGTTTACTTTGTATGTGGTATTGTATCCTTTTGATATCCATTCAGTTAAGAACTTGCGAGCACTGTCTCCGCTTAAATGACAGAAGATATTCTCATTCCTGCAACAGGATATACTCTTTAAGTATGTCGTGATAAAAGCAAAGAATTCAATGTAGATTGAACATAATTTTAACAATGTTTAGCAAGTTACCTTCCATTAATAAGCTTGAAAACCAGAGAATTGACACCATAAGTATTACCATACGCATCCATCTTTCTAAACTCTTCTTTCAAAGGACCAACATCAATAACAGAACCGTAGAAATCTAGAATGACTCGCAAGAAGACAAACTTTTGTTAAAATTTATCACTTTAAACCTACTGAACTTTTTACAACATGCTGTAAAATAAAAGCAAACTTACCATACAAATTATTGAATGGTGTTGGTACTGAATTTCTTGCGGTCAAAGCCAAGTCAAGGCTCGTAAGGAAAAGCTTGAATAATGTGCGATTGGGGATGGGCCGAAGGCCCAACAAGAGATCTGCGTGAGTTGTTGAGATAATCTGGGAGCTGAAGCAGAGAAGGGGGAGGCGAAGATCCAGGAAGGAAAAGTGGAGATCGCGTACTATCGGATTTATAAAAGGAGAATGTTTACAATCTGAGCAGATCATCTTGTAATCATTTGAAAAAACAATACTCATAAATATAAAAGTCCATTTTCCATCTCGAGTTCGATATTCAATGTTCTAGATCCGAGAGCTTAGCCCTAGTTTTGTTCCCTCTTATAAATCTTAGATAATTAACTTAGTGGGTGAATTTCAGCACCTACAATTTGGCGCCGTCTGTGGGGACGACATATAAGTCTCTCTAAACACTTAGAACCGCTATCGAACTTTGCCGTCGGAATGGATCCTATCCCTCAGCCCGAAAAAGTCGAAGCCGGACCCTTGACCGGCGAGACCGTCCACCCCGAGGAAACCAGTCAGAGGGGAGAACGACGAGCTCAACCACCAGTAACGGCGATCGGCGTCGAGATCCCCCTCTTGCCGTCCAGGCAGACCGTGCTAAGCCCGGGGCACACAAGGATACCTCCTCCGACCTACACTGAGACCACCACAGTCGGTCCCGTCCCCTCCTCCGGAGAAAGGTCAGAAGTCGATGGTAACTCCGCCGAAAACTAACGATCCGAGCCGGTACGCTCGGATTTACCGAAATCGACACCCCACGCCGAGCGTGAGCTGTCAGAAATCCGGAGCATGCTGTCAACCCTGATCGACAAAACCCAAAATCAAGAAATAATGAACCGCTCTTTGATGGAAAGAATCGAGAGGCAGGAGCGCGAGCTGTCATTCCGCACGCCTCCAAGTACCATCAGATCCGTACACCATCCGACCCCATAACTTATGGGACCAAACCGCTTCGGTGACATCTCGATCTCGCGAACTCGACTCGACTTCTCAAATGCCGAAACAGCTCCGACACGAGCACGAAATTCGGGACCGCTTCTTCCGGCTCCTCCCACCGATCCGGGGGCCTCCACGTGCCAAACGGCGGACGACCATTGTCCGACTCACACACCCCTCACATCCGGACTGGACATTGACCCCTCGACGCTTCCCGTCGAATGGATAGCCGGAGAACTAGCCCAGGGGTCGGGCCCTCGCCTCAGCGTAGAAAATGGTGAATTGGCATGCCTCCGAGCATCAAACCCAGAAATACCGGCCCGATTCCGTACTGCCCCCGGTATGATAAGTGCCGACGCATTAGCCGAGTACGTAAGCAAAACAAACGCTGAGATGGCGCAGATGCGCTCGCGAGTACATTTTGCAACGAGTGCAGCCCTAGATATCGACAAGGTGATCGAGGAAACTAGGTGAACCCCATTTTTCGATAGAATCGCTTAAGTACGACTTCGCGACATGGGAAAACTACGACTCCCCGAGTATGCCAGAATGTCAGACCGACAGACGACGAAGCGGAAGCTGGATACTGCCGATATTTTGCCGAGAATCTAGTAGGCACCGCCCTGGAATGGTTCACAAGCCTCGAAGCCAATTCAATCGATAGCTTCAACCAGCTCGCGACATCTTTCCTAAAGCAATATTCGGTCTTTTTCCAGACTAAAACGACGGAATCGGACCTATGGCTCCTCGTCCAAACCAAGGATCAACCTTTGCGAGAGTATATCTCGAGGTTTAAGGAAACAAAGGCAAAAATAGCCAACCTGAATGACGAGGTCGCCCTGGCCGCACTCTGGCACGGATTATGGTATACATCAAAATTCCGGGAGGAGCTCACAGTCTGACAGCCCGCATCACTGGACG